TAGAGGTGGAGTTATATAGTTGTTATTCGCACATAAAGGCAGTACTAACTTGGGACTCCTTGAAAACAAACACGCAGAATAACAGAGATGACTAAAAGGCAATAAACCATATTGAGCGAATACGGAAAGGAAAGGATAGAAGTACGAATAGAGCTCTTATGGGTGCAACGATCAACTGACTGAGGGAATTGAAATGTCTATGGATGAATATTCTATGATATGCGAAATAATACAGGGCGGCCAGAATTACTGAAGAATTACAAGATAAAAAATTCGTAGAAAACCAATGGAGTCGAAAATAGAAAATTGGACAATAAAAATATGTTTATAGGAGGGGGGTCAATGAAGAAGACCGCATCACTTCTCAAAGAGGCCATCGACACAGAAGCGAAGTCTCTTCAGGGAACGCTTCGATCGCGTCGTGTAGATAGGTGACATCAAGTTCGCTTTCTTTCGGGAGCAACTACCTTCCATTCCTCGACGTTTCGATGACAACGGAGAACACGCCTTCGCCTCCAGGAACGCTCCATACAGAGTAATCCATTGTGTTCGAGTCGGGGAAACAAGGTGGCCACTCCTCCAATTCAATGAACTCCGGGCAGTTCTGGTAGCACCAACTCTGTACTGTTCTCGCCTTGTGTACTAACGCTCCGTCCTGTTGGAGCATGATTCCTTCCAAAGGTCTCCTTAGCCCAAAGGCTTCGGTTGCGTTTGAAATACCATTCCTGAAGCCGAATTTGATGTCATTCGAATAACTTAATCCGATTTGCTTGTAGCGTATATCCTTCTTTCTGCCTATTCAAGACTGGTTCGACAGCAAACACCTTTTCATCGGTGAAAGAAACATCAGATGTCGTCCATTACGAAACCAAGACAGCATTTTTGCACTGATTCTTTTCTGTTTAGTCGCTTCAAGTGAGGAGTTGTACCCTCACTCGCTCATAAGGCTTTCATCTTCAAGTGCTTCGTTCACAATCGTTTGCAAATAAGTCCGTTTTATTCCCATTTCAGCTGAAAACCTCGAACTGAATGCGCTGGTTCCCAGCGAAATTTCGCACCTTATTGATATTGCCTCTTCTAATCGCGGATGCCTTTCTTAACACGCCCAGACCGATCTTCCGCTGTTGCCTAGCTTCTCGAACCTCGTGATGGTCGCTGACACAAGCTTCCTCGTGGTACAGAACCACTTCGAAGTCTCACACAATTGAACGCCTTGACGGAATAAACGTATGATTGTATTACAATTGAAGGCTTGGTCATTCTAGAATTTCCACATTTCTCGTGGTGAAGTTATACAGCAGTCTCCAAGGGAAGAAATGATTCATAAAACCCACATATGGAACACCTGACGCATGAAATTCATAAATACGCTCAGCGCGCGCTTGTGACCCTAATTTCTGACCACCCTCTATATTACTATTATCAAACAAATACAATGGCTATGAGGGCTGCGTTGACTTCCAGTGAACCATTATAGAGTGACCAGAAAGGGGAAATGGGAGACCTTAAAGGACTCCCAGCGATGCGATTTGACTATATGAAGGAAATAATCTATATTGGAACAAAAGGCGATAAATGTAGATGGACAAGGCTGATCCGTCCCACCTGAACTGGAAGACGTAATGATCATGGCAAAAGGATCAGGAGACCCGTGAGGCGATGCGCAGTACCGACCAGACCGGGTGCATGATGCAATGCGAAGACACTAGTGTTGGCGCGCGATTTTGAAGGATGCATTGACAGCAATGCGAAGACACTAGTTGGTTTTAGTTGGCGGCCGGATTTTTTTTTTTAAAAACAGCTGAAGGGGGTCGGTCAGGAGGCGGGGGCCGTACTGAACCTTCTCGTACTTGGCGGGAACTTCAAATATGCACTTCGTCGTGGCATACTCTCAGCGTCCTGCAGCATATTTACTCGAGATCGTGGCGCGAGTCACGACAGTATCGTTGTGCTTCTTGAATGGTGGTCGCTCAACCATTAGTTACTTCCAACAGAGAACGAGGTGCGACAAGAAATTTTTGCAGATGTGGTCTGTAATGATTATACTCGGGTAGTACTAAACGATGGAAAAGGTTCAGATTATATCCATGCAAACTATATAAGAGGGAGAGCCATTAATTTGCAGTTATATATGTACACAGGTTTGCTGAAACTATTGACTGAGATTATTTATTCATTATTTAGTACTTGCTTCATCACCTCCATATATCAGGGTCCTCTGCCGACAACCATAGTAGATTTCTGGAGGATGATATGGTTAGAAAAGGTGTCCCACATTATAATGCTCTGTAGCATACTGGAATGTGGTAAGAAGAAATGCGAGCAGTACTGGCCAGAGGAGAACGGTAAAAGTATGACGATTAATGGTGAGATATTGCACTGACACAGAGTCTTAAAATCAAGTTGATCACACGGTGATTGTAGGTGATACATTTTCAATGTTTCGAATTCTCGTTGGTGTAAGGACGTCAAAAGGCGGTCACAGCTACACCCTCAGCGCAACGAAGGATCTTGTCCACCGTTGAAATTCAGTGGCGTGATCAAACCACTGCTAGCCATTATGCCCACTTCCTTTGAATGTCGAGGCAGAGGTCAAACTTTGCGACCAGCAGCTACTACAGCTAGTGGAAACACATGCATTTTGAGACGAAATGCTGTTGAGCATAGAGAAGAGGCCAAAGGCAGCAATCACGATGGTAGACAATGGCGCGATTTTGATGCCGTCGCTTGAACGAAATTGGTGGGCGAGCGTTGAGAGGCAGTCTGAACCACGCCGTTCAGCCGCACTGAGGAAGCCCAGTCCACCATGACATTAATGTCGTCATCAGAAGTGCACCGCCTTCCAGACATCGTGATCGCCTTTAAATGTCAAGAACACCTATCAAGCATCAACGATGGCCTTTATTAGAGGGCTTTTAGAAAGTGGGGTCGTGCTTTGGTGGTGTGTTCGAAGCTTTACAAGGGCGTCGTATTTGAGACTTACAGAGGAAGCTGCAGTTGAGGGGGTGTGGGGGATTGCATCTAGAATTCGAAATTACGTCACAGTTGACCCTGAGCTCATGACAAGATTATATATTCAAAAATATAGCGCGATACACCGTAACGCTTTCGACGTTCCTGTTTTCCTAAACTTATAATCTTGTACACTCATGTGCGTGTGTGCTAGCAATTAAAATCTCTGATAATTAAGCAGCAAGATCTTATCTTTCGTCTTTCGTCTTTCTTTCTTTCTCTCTTTAGTCTTTCTTTTGCGATCCCTAGAATGGTCTCACTTCGTTACATAAGATATATTATACGGGGGCGTGACCAAAATTCGTTTCGAATAGGAATGTGTCCGAACACATCATGAGAGTCCTCCTTTTTGAACCTTTTTTGCCGCTGAACCGCTTCTGGCTTTGTAAAAACGGGAATCCGATCCATACTATTATTTTTCTTCGGAAAATCCAGGGAAAAGGGGGAGATAAAAGCGGATCCAAATTTTTGTTATCCCTTTTTTATGTGAAACGTGGTCTCAAAATTAGAGAACAAAAGGAAGTGAGTGTTCCTTGGCAAAGTCAGTGCACATTTCCAAAAGTTGCCATTGCAGATTTTTCAATTACATCAATAAGGGTCAACAACACAGACCCGCATGTAACTCGGTCCACTCTAGAGGTGAAACAAGGCTCAGAAAAACATTATCTGAAGCATCATCGGTGGAAGACATGGTAAATTCATCCCTTCCCTTTTGTGCGGATGTGCTGGGAGCCAAAACGTAACGCTTTTAGGCCAGACAAAACTGTACCAAAATCGCTGCTAGCAGTGTTTCGAATTTCTTCATCAGACAAGAAAGTCAAAAACACCAATAGTGGTTCACTGCTCTGCTGGAATTGGGAGAACTGGATCCTTTGTATGTCGTCTACCTTTGATTTTTGTCCCCTCATTAATTTCTTCTCCAAAACTTTCCTCATTAATTTTCTTCTTAAAACTTTCATTTGTGAAAACAATACCGTTGGAAGGCAGTCCGACAACATGCCCGAACCCGAAGGGGGCATGGTCAGACCGCCTCGCGACCGCTTCTAGGCAATGAAGTCCTCAAATCGACCGCTCCCTTTGCATCCAAATTCCAGTGCGAAAATATAGAAAAAATACACATAAAAAGAGCAATAAACTTTTCTCTACAGGTTGCCATTGAGATGGGGCTTCAACAACTATTGACCGGCAACCAATTGAACCTTTTGGAATGTTGTAGACGATTAAGAGGTATTGATCGTCATAGTTTGGATCGGCGTGTAACGCACATGTAATATCAGTGTATCAGATCAGCGAGCTCACAGCGTGCAGGTCGAGATACAGTACATATACGTGGCCGAAGCACTTTGCGAGTATGGCAGGGCCATGAAGTACATCGTCGACCCGCAACTTCTGAAGGTAACGGTTTTTAATTCTTCATTTTCGTCTGTAAAGGTGCCTTCTTATGGGGCTCTAGTCCACTCACGAGTCCCCAAATAAGCAAAAACTTTTGAATAAGCCCTCCAACCTCCCTTGCCTACATTTCGGCTAGATATCTCTCCCTTTCTTCAACCACCGACCCTATTGCATTCCTTTACCTTGCCCAGGTTGATTCGTCGTACGGAACGCAGCTCATCACTTACGAATCTCTTTTGAGTAGCGTTTAACATTTTTGCAGTTTTCTAGGAGGACTGACAGGGTGCGCTCAGTACAGCAGCAGCGAATCCCATTACTTATCTTCGGCTGCTTTACCGACAGCAATGCACTCGAAATCTTAACTGCTGATGAGGACAGCGTCAGCGACTACCTTCCGTTGCAACAAAACGTATGCTTCGCATGAGCAGCCGGCTTAACTGTCAAGTGTAGACGCAGTTTTATCAATTCTTGAAATCGGATGCTCCTTACTCTTCTTCAGATTCCCCTTAAATTTGTGTTCGAGAAAAATCCCTTCAGGTCACAATATGAATGAAAGCAAGTCTAAGGTCTAAGATTCTAATCGATTTCAGGAATTCGAGAAGTTCAAAGAATCGTTCAATGTGTTTGTTGCCGGCCTTGGAATAGAAGAGCAACCACCGCCTGCTCCTCCTTGTCCCATACCACCGCCTGGACCACCTTGTCCCTTACCATCACCTGGACCACCTTGTCCCTTACCACCACCTGCTGCTCCTTGTCCCATACCATTTCCAGCACCCAAAGGAACCGCCGCTGTAGCTGCAACACAATACCAACCCGAACAGGATCTACCGTAACCGGCCATCATTACTGAGCCGAACTTTCAATGATACTCGCCATATTTTTGTCTATTAATTAGTACTCAAACATTAAGGAGATACACTTATTACAGTTACAATTTATTTCTATGATCAGTGTGTTAGATGTG